ATGAGTAAGTTACCGATGGGAAATCGCAATGTTCACATTCAACAGTCCTTGGGTGCGGACACAAATATAATGAAATTCTACATAACTCAGAACTCCACAACGTATGGAGCTCGATTTGAGAACTTCAAGCCTCGCCAAGATTACCACAGAGGCACTGGATACCTCAGTAACTTTAGACCCAGTGTTTATTATAACAGACGCCTGGATGATGTTGATAATCCAGCAATGAGGTAAATGGATTTTCAACTTACTCTATGTTAAGAAGTTAATTGGAGGCTGCCTATTGGCAGATTACATTTTCTTAACTTATCCTGACTCATCAAGCAGCATGGCATTATGTTTCTCAATTCCTTTATTTCAAAGCAACACATAGATAGGTGATTTTACCCTTGAAAATCAGCCATCAGGAACTCCTCCTGATTTTTGTATATTAAGAGAGGGTGCTGGGGGGACGAGTGCTCGGTTATAGTTATATTTCTCTGAACATGTGCTATGAAACATCTTATTTGTAATGTAATAATCATCTGTGTTCTCTGTATAATGTGCTGCCTAAGTCAGTCTTCATTTCTGTAAAGTTGTTTTTAATGTGATCATCCCATATTTGGCATGGTCTTCTTTTCATCTGTATTGATTATATTTCTTCATTGCGGCTGTCTTTTGAAGTTGTACCAATCAGTTTTCATCAAATGGTTAAACAACAGATTGTTACCAGTCCAAGAAAGTAGAAAGGAAAAAATATACAGTCAAGTCCACTTAAGTCGAACTTAGATAAGTCCAATTTCGGTTAAGTCGACCAGCTTAGTCCTAGCAATTTTCTCTCTTGTGTTTGCTGTCTGGATAAGTATAAATCCTGATAAGTGGAAGCATTTTCTAAGGTCCCTGCGACTTCTACTTATCCAGACTCAACTGTACAAAAATACCTAGTATTTGCCATGAAGCTACCATTTTAAATTTTATGAATGCTTAGCTGGATATTGAACTCCCTCATCATTATCCTGTTGTGCCATTACATGTCAAACGGTGCTTGCATCCTGTGCAGTCACTTCAAAATCAGGAATGGAATTCAGTCCTGCACCTTTAGCTTCTCTCATGAATATTTGTTTTGGATGTTCTCATTTCCTCAATTTCCATTTTTAATGCCTGTTTGGTGATTCTCTGCTCATTTTCTATCAGGATGTTTGCAATGTAGCACCATCTTCTCTGTCTTGTAACTGTTGAAACCAGTGGCTGTCCAGACTTTTCTCTTAGATCTTCACCCCTCTTGAATTCATCCCATTTGATGTTCATCATTTTTCTAAGGCTTTTGTTTTCAAATGCATTTAACTTTTGTTCCGTGTCTTTAGTGGCTCTCCAACTTTCACTAGGTATATGTTTTACTGAACAAATGTTAGAAGAATGATGAGACCACCATAAACAGACAACAATGTAGAATGAAGATACAGTGGTACCTTGAAATTCACACACTTCACAGTTTGGACAGTTTTCAAGTAAATTTTGCCTGGAATGAATGCCACCTTGGAAACCAAACACCAGGCAGTATCAGCCATGCACTACCACACAGCACCATCTTCGCTTTGTTTTCTTACAGTGTGATAGTTTTAATCCTTGTGGGAGGAAGAGGGGGTAGCTGGAAGGATAAGCACTACTGAAATCCAAGATCTTTTGACCATGTGGCAAAAAAGAAGTTGTTGAACGGTGGCACCCTGATAAAGCCCTAGTGAACAGGTTTGTTAACTTACTAAATAATAACATTATCAAACATATTAGAAGAATTAAAAATGGTTCCCGAAAAAAGGAACACTTCTGAAAACTGGCTGTCAACAAAAAACGTGAGACACCCAAACCATCTGTGACTACAATGTGAAACACAAGAAAAGATTCCTGATGTTATCATGGAAAGTGCTCCACTTTCTAAACAATAATCTCCCTAAATCCCCTTTCCTTTTCCTACTTCTATGTGCGGTGTCACCATTTTCTATCAAGGTACAGTAAATACATTTTTATATTTTGTTATTTATTTATGTTGTAATTTTTTTTTCTGTTAAATCATCATTTGTTACTATATTTACAGTATACTTCACTAGAAAAATCAATGGTAAAATATTATTTTTCTTGTACCCTGAGGCAGATTAATTAACTTTCCATTATTTTCAATGGAAAACAGTTTGCCATTCGATCGCTATCTCAGAACCGACTGTGGTAAAATTCAAGTTACCACTGTACTTGAAAGTGGTTAACACATAAAGAGAACTAAATACACATGTCAAGAAACTTATATTTACAAAATCTTAGCATCCTTCTAAACTGCAGAGGTGTGATTTTATAGAAGAATGATAAGAACACCATGAGCAGATTAACAAGTGTATTGAAGATATCTTGAAGGCAGTTAACTCCCAGTTAATGTGTCCTTTACAGGATGTTGCAGAACCAACCCTAGCACATTTTTGCTGCTACGATTTTTCTAGGCAAATTTACATTCAGCAGCTGTGAACTTACAAAGAGAACTTGTTATCAGGAAAAGACAGTCTGCATTCTCTGAGCTAGTGAGGAGAAGAACGAATGAACGAACAAACTTTTTTTTCAAAGGGTCACAAATTGGGCACGCAGGCCCGTCTTACATTCGTCACTTCCAAATACCCGTCTTTCACACTGCATCTGTATTTTACCAATAAGCATGTTATATTCATATGATAATATACATATTATGAATATAAAAAAAAGAGGGGGTAAAAAGCACAAAAGCATGGGTGGTACAATGCATGCACAGACACACACACACCCACCCACACACTTAAACACACCCACATACCTTCACACACACATTAACACACTCCATTCACCCACATACATACCTACATACCCACACAGACACGCACATTCCACACACATACAAACATACAGATATACACACACAGGCACACCCATAGAAACAAAGGCAGACACACACACACACACAAACAGACATACACGCACATACCCAATCACACACACAGATACACAGACACACACACACACAACACTCACACATAAACCAGCATACAGACACACACAGACACATATGCACAAACACACGCAGACACAAACAAACAGATATACTCGGAGACACACAAATACACACATACAATCGCAGACACACACACACATGCGCTGATGCTCACACAGACACATACACTCAACCACAGACACACACACGCAGAAGCATATGCAGGCATTCATACACACAGGCACATGCACAGATACCTGCAGACACACACCCACAGACACACAAACGCAAACACATATGCAGACATACATATACACAGAGAACTGGAGTGTGTTGTTATGATTATGAGACTTGTTATCAGGAAAAGACAGTCTGCATTATCTGGGCAAGTTAGGAGAAGAGAGAACTGGAGTGTGTTATTATCTTCTTCTTCTTCGCCTTCACCAGCTGTACACTCTGGCGGAAAGTTCTGGTTGCTCGTCCACTAGTGAACTGCAGTCCTGCTCCAGAACCTGAGTGTTGCGTGTGCATCAGTTTTACAGATCTCATTCTATTGAATACAGACTGTTGGTTCCTTGCCTCTCCGGCAGATGCACTCCGACTTCAAAAGAAGCTCCCCAATTAGTCGACTCTTACGACATGCTTTTGGGGAGGCAGTGAGTCTATTCTTGTTTTCCCCATTGTGGGGCCCTGGAACCCACATGGGGGTGTGTTGTTATGATTATAAGACTTGTTATCAGGAAAAGACAGTCTGCATTCTCTGGGCTAATCAGGAGAAGAGAGAACTGGAGTGTGGTGTTATGATTATAGGACTTGTTATCAGGAAAAGACAGTCTGCATTCTCTGGGCTAATCAGGAGAAGAGAGAACTGGAGTGTGGTGTTATGATTATAAGACTTGTTATCTGGAAAAGACAGTCTGCATTCTCTAGGCAAGTCTGGAGAAGAGAGAACTGGAGTGTGGTGTTATGATTATAGGACTTGTTATCAGGAAAAGACAGACTGCATTCTCTGAGCAAGTCAGGAGAAGAGAGAACTGGAGTGTGGTGTTATGATTATAGGACTTGTTATCAGGAAAAGACAGTCTGCATTCTCTGGGCTAATCAGGAGAAGAGAGAACTGGAGTGTGGTGTTATGATTATAGGACTTGTTATCAGGAAAAGACAGTCTGCATTCTCTAGGCAAGTCTGGAGAAGAGAGAACTGGAGTGTGGTGTTATGATTATAGGACTTGTTATCAGGAAAAGACAGTCTGCATTCTCTGGGCTAATCAGGAGAAGAGAGAACTGGAGTGTGATGTTATGATTATAGGACTTGTTATCAGGAAAAGACAGTCTGCATTCTCTAGGCAAGTCTGGAGAAGAGAGAACTGTAGTGTGGTGTTATGATTATAGGACTTGTTATCAGGAAAAGACAGTCTGTATTCTCTGAGCAAGTCTGGAGAAGAGAGAACTGGAGTGTGTTATGATAAGGAGAAAGTGAAAAGAGAAATGAGCCAGTGGGAGAGAAAGAGATAAGATTGACAGTTTGACATCATAACATTGAAGAACATCAGTATCAGCATCTGCTGGAAACCAGTCAATCAGTCCTTTCAATTCCGCATACATATGCTATGAGTTTGTTATAAAGTAAATAAAAAAGTAAAGGGTCGTTTGCACACCAGTGGCACATCAAGCCTCTGAAGCTAGATTATGGTTTTTTTAAAATGATCAGTCAAAACTTGGTGGGTGGTATGGTCAACATCTTGTCAGCCACCTTTACTTCCTAAAATATTACCTTGTACCGATGTTTAGGCTGGGTCGACCTGTGAATCGTGGTCATATTTTAGTCAATTTAAACTGTGAGTTGTGGGATGATTTCATTGTTTTATGTTTATGCGACTTTAATTGACTTGTTTATCAAAATGCTCCATACAACATATTAACTGACAAGACGCATCTGTGATGGAAACTATCGCTCAGTGACACAGCTGGATTTTCAGCCTTACAGAGATTCTTCTGGGCTGGAGGCATTTCCTATCAATGTTATACAAACTTCTACTGGTTTTGGAAAGGGAAAGAGTGCAGTTATACCTGTTGATTTCCAGGTAAGAACGGGAAAAAGAGTTATTGAAAAAAAAAAAAGTAAAGAACCCTTTTTCTTGCCTTTAGGCGTATAGGGCATATAGGGCTAGACCTATGTTTTATAGACCAGTCGTTATAAGATGGGTGATGGGGTCAGCATCACACCAGCCACCTTTACTCCTGGGAACTGCACCTGGTACCCACTCAAGGCTGGGTTGACCTGGGAGCCAAGGTCATTATTGAAAAAAGTCCGGCTCTGCCAGGGAGCGAACCCACCACCTTCAGATCCCAGCGAGCATCTAGCCACTCCACCATGGCGACTCCTAGAAAAAGAGATTATTAAAGCTATCTGATTGTTTTATTTTGATTAGAAAAGCTCTATGACTGTTTTTTTGTGTGTGTGCAAGAAACTCTGGCCTATCCAGTCACAATGAAATTTAATGAAATGCTAATTCAAATGAAATTTTGCATAAGTATATGTAAGCTATGAGCAGTTTTTGTTTGGCACTTTTCTGTTTTTCCATATGTTGGAATTGCACACCCTTGATAATAGAAAGTGTTACTAATAAGACCAACTTGAATTAAGGAAAGTCTTCCACAATTAAATACGTTGGATTTTAGGGTAATTGAGATTTGGCAAGGAATAAATATAGCAGCTGGACAGGAGTGGATGTCCTGTGAATTTGAAGACAGGTGAGACCATTTATAGTATGCTCTTTCCATGTGGGTTCCATGGCCCCAATCTGGGGGAAAAAAAGAATAGTTCCACTTACAAAGTATGATGTTGAATGTTGAATTAGGAGTCAACATCATAGCACCGGGGACATTTCCATAAGCGCTTCATCCCCATTTTCAGCAGCAAGCACTGAGTTCCAGATCTAATGGCACAAGTAACGATCTGACTGTAAATCCCTCTCACCTTTTCCTTGAGTGTTGAGCGTCGGCCAGATCCCCTGTTCACTCCTTGCAGCATCGTTCTCCTCAGACTGTGATGATCTATTTGTTGCTTCACACTGTTCACTCACTGCCAAAGAACCTTTATAACATCTAGTTTGTCATACATCAGTTCTCTACCAAGTGGTGCAGAACTAGCCAGTCTGCCTGCCTGTTCATTTCCAAACAAACAGGCACAGCATGACCTGGAGAAAGTATCCAAAGGATGATAACTACCCAGAACCTCAGAAGCGATGCTTGCCACTCTTCATGGAGTATGCCTTTCTCTGCCATTCTCAACATATTTTGTGAGCCGGTTACAATTATGAAATATAAACACAGCTGGTTTTCAAGCCAGCAGAAGGCTTCTGTAACTGTCTCCACCTTTGTCAACATGAGTTACATTATAATGACAATCCTTTAAGTGACTCATTTAATTAAAAAACTAAAAATGGTTCTCTCTTCTAACTCTGAAGGGTCCACAGAAGATGAAGTCAGAAACCCATGAAAAGTTTCAAGGTCGTATGTGGCCTGATGGTAAGAATCCGTCTGATAATTATAGAAATTATTTTTCAAGTTGAAATCGAATTTTTTATTTTTTATTAACTCATTTAAAAAAAGATACCTAATTAGAATATTGCTTCCTTTAATTACCTGTAAAGAAAATTCTTGGTAGAATGAATAGTTGAGCATCATAATTTGAGTTTATCTGGGTAAAGATTTAACATCACGTCATTCAGGACAAGCCCATATCAGCTCTGTCTCCCTTGTTAACAGCCAGCGAAGAGGCTCCTTACTGATGGTACCTTTTGTCATCTGGTTAACTACTTGGCTTGGCTTGCCTGCTAGTCTCGAGGGGTGCCCAAAGCCCACAGAAACTTCCCGCTTCAACATTCTGCTAGAACTTGTTATGTGTCTGTGTCATTGCATTTTCAAACTTGTCATTGTTATTAAACGAGCTTCAAAGATGCCAGTGTACTGAGTGATGATGCAGTTAATGCATACTAAATAGCTTAATTAACTGCCAAAACTTATATAATGTAAAATCTGTTTTTTTTTTTTATTATCTTAGTAACTATGGGCTCTAAAGAAGTGGGCCCACAAGAGATGTCCGGATTTGTCCGCAATGGTGCTGAGGATCCTATCACTTTTGAACCACAGAAAGCCCATGAAAACCTAAAGCCTGTAAGTTGAAATAATATTGATGGCTGAAAACACACAAGATATGCAATAATATTTGGACATGTGGTAACAGAGTGTATAAGAAGACTTTACTTGAATATCAGATGGAAAACAAAAGAAGCAATAGTTGTATCAAAGGAAAAATATAAGAATGTGCTATTACAGTAGAAGGAACAATGCTTAACTAAGTCAGTAAACTGAAATCTTCTTCTTCTTTACTTCCTCTTTTTACCACTGTGGGTGTCGAGGGAGTCAACTGAAATACTTGGAGATATTTTTCTGTGTTAATTCCATTGTTTTATCTTTAATGGTTTAAAATTGAGAGGAAATACAGGTTTTTAACCCATGTGGCTTAGTCTCTTTTAGCAGAAAGGCTACAACCTGTTGAAATTGTCACACAAAGCACAAACTCCATAGCCCCAGCTATGATCCCCTGGATCTCTGTAAAAATTGCATATGTAAACTAAACAATGCAATCCACGAAACAAACCTAGAATGCAATGCAAACATCTTAACATATTCTTCTTCTTCTTCACGTTCATGGACTGTAGACTCCTGCGGAAAGTTCTGGTTGTTCATCCACTTCTGGACTTTAGCCTAGTTCCAGACTTGAATTTGTGTGCACATCCATTTGATAGATTTAGCTTGTTTGTAAGGAGACAGCTGGTTCCTTACCTCTCAGACAGAAACAATTTGAAGGAAATGCCTCTAGTTTTAGGACATGCTTGTTAGTGGGGTAGTGAACCTACTCTTTTTTCCCCAAAATGGGGTACTGGGAAACAGCTTAACTACTTAGCCAACTTCTCTGATCATGTTGTAAATTACTTGTTGAAAGTCTCAAAATTGTATACTTTCTGCTTTATCTTTAGGATGTGAAAAATGATTTAATATTGAAGACAGGTTCACTAAAACAGCTCTTTCCCCCTAGCAAATGTGACAAATACATAACATTTAGCTTTTGTTCTACAGTCTACTGAAGTTCTTTATAAGGAAATATCACTTCTGGTCTTCTTGCAGGGTTGGTGCACTCACAGGCCTACCGGAGTGTCTATATCAAAGACCAGCTATATACCCAAAACATGGTCCAGGGTGAGCAGAACTATTTTTAGTGTAATTAAATGTGTTCAGTGTCTGTGGCTTTGGCGCTTCATAACACTGAGGTGCAGGGTTTTATCTTGGCTGCAGGCGGTTTGGTACCAGACCGCCTCTGTATTGGTTTCAACAGTCATATTGAGAGCAGTAAGCAATGACAAACCACTAAACGTTAAATTGCCCAGTGAAATAATAAACAACCAAAAAATGCTGGGGCTAGTTCTGCAACATCCTGTAAAAGATACACAACTAATTTTGGTTGAATGTGTTAATTCTAGACTTGAAAAAAGGTATAACAAAATGCCGGTAAAATAGTAAAACAGTGAAGTATCAAACCTTCATCCTCGTGTGGGTTTTGTGACCCCATTGTGGAGAAAACAAGAATAGACTCATGCCTCCCCAACAAGCATGTCGTAGTAGTCAACTAATTGGGGGGGGGGGGGGGGAGGGGGGATGGGCTTCACTCAAAGTCTGAGTGCATCTACCTGAGCAGCAAGGAAGAAACAGCTGCACACAAATAAGCCAGTAAAACGGATGTACACACAAAACTCAGACCCTAGCACAAAGCCAGAGTCGAAATGGACAAACAACCAGGACTTTCCACTGGAGTTTACAGCTGGTGAGCAAAGAGAAAGAGAAAGACTGTATTATGCTGCATCATCTTCCGAATTGTAAGAGTTAAAAATACAGTTTCACTAAAGCTTACCACAAACTTGGAATTATACCCTTTGATCAATGTATTGAAAAGCTAGTGCTCACTTAGCCCAGTCACATTGTCTACTAAGAGGTATATACTCATGTTTCGTAAACAAATTGTGCTCCCCCCCCCCCTCCCCGCCCAAAAAAAACCCAAAAAATTATGAGGCTGATAGATTTATTAGTCAGTTTGGCCTTTCTGGATTGCAACTTAAAGGTTTACTGTAGAGTCCTGAGATTAAAGAATCTCACTGGATGGCAGACCAACAAGGCAGATCACAGATACCGAGATATTTCTCCTTGTGTGTTGGGAAATGAGCAGGCATATAGACTGGCAGGTTCTGCACCAGTTGGTGGTGAATTTATGCATGACAAGCTAGATGTTGTGAGGGCCGTCTGGGAGCAAGTGAACAGTGCAGAGGCACAAATAGATTATTACGGTCTGAGGAGAATGGCGCTGCGAGAAGTTACCAGGGAATTTGGCTGACGCTCAACAGTCAGGGGAAAAGTGAGAAGACTATATAATCAGACAGTTACTGGTGCCATCAGAATTAAAACTCTTTGCTTGCTGCTGAAGATGGGGATGGAGCGCTTATTGGAATGTCCTAAGTGCTATGGTGTAGATTCTTCATTTAACAGTAAATATTCCTTCGAAGTCAGAGCACATCTCTTTGAAAGGAAATTAACCGACAATTTGCATGCAAGCAAACCAGATCTGTTTGGTTTTTTTAAATGTGTGCCCAGAAAATTCCGGTTGTGTAGCATGTCTGATGTACATAAGTGGACTAATATTCACAGGACTAATATCCAGACTTTCCAATGGAGTTTACAGTCGGTAAATGCTATGAGAAAACAGAAGAAGCAATTTCCTGCTAATGTTGAAATTTCAGTGTTCAATTTACCTACATAATGACGGTTACAGTTTCTCACCTAGGGAGACGATCGTCTGCCAGGTGGAATTCCTCGTGGATCTGAGCGAGGAACTGGTTTTACCAGAGAAGAGGTGAAACCAAAATATGTTAACATCAAGGCTCCAGATGTAAGTCAGCATTAGTATTACATTGTTTTGTTATTTTTTTCTGTCCCTTGTGAGCATTTGGTTGGGATCCGCTGACAGTGAAATGTGTTGAGCTTTTAGAGCCGGGTGGGAAAGGTTACTGTCTGCCAATAACTATTAAAAATTTTGTAAAATTATTCATAGGTCACACACAGTTTTCAGTTCAACTTCTTTTTCTTATGTGTAATGAGGTAAATCCAAAGAAGTTTCCAGTATGACGAGTGTAAGGTCAGAAGGCCAGGGAAACGAGGGACACATGGAAAATTTGTGTGTTTAGTATGTCCAGTGTTTATGTAAATGATAACAAGAGAAACCTGTGGGACAGGAGTAAAGGTTTAAAGGTGAGAAAGGATTTAGAGTCAGTAGGTGTTTGACAGTGCGAGAGTGAGGTTGCTTGAATGGAGTGACTGAGGTGAACTTCTATTGTTAACTGAGGTAAGAGGACTTGGACACACAAGGGAATGTCTACATAGAATTATTATTAATTGTAAAGTCTATTGTGAACATTTGTGGTACTGTGAACATTTGTGGTACTGTGAATATTTGTGGTACTGTGAACATTTGTGGTACTGTGAACATTTGTGGTACTGTGAACATTTGCGGTACTGTGAACATTTGTGGTACTGTGAACATTTGTGGTACTGTGAACATTTGTGGTACTGTGAACATTTGTGGTACTGTGAACATTTGTGGTAGTGTGAACATTTGTGGTACTGTGAACATATGTGGTTCTGTGAACATTTGTGGTACTGTGAACATTTGTCGTACTGTGGACATTTGTGGTACTGTGAACATTTGTGGTACTGTGAACCAGATGCAAGATCCCAGCGTGAATGGAACAATCCGACTGGAAGGTAATTGCATCGATTGTCTACTTGAAGTCCTGTCATGATCGAGTTGTAAACGAACAGGTAGAACCTAAGGCAACTACTGAATGACTCGTTTGATATACTACAATAAACTGTACCAATGCCATCGTCATGCTTTGACTATACCTCTGTGTGTCCATACTTTACATCATAACGGAAGGAAGTATGGAGTCAAGGTAAGTCCAGATTGAGCCAGAGAGCCACAATGTCATATTATGTATTTACTCTTTAAAAGATGATCGGCATGTGGTTTTGGGGTTAATAGCTATGCTTCAGTATCTACACCTTTTGGCCCGGCACATCTGATTTCTACAAAAACGTAATTAGCCACTTTTTATGACATGCTTAAGTTGGTCTATTCCTGTTTCCCTCCAAAATGGATCTCTGAACCCACAGAGGGAATTGTCAGTTTACAAATTAGTCTGCTTTATTTGGTCAAACATTAAAATATGGTTGCTTTGGCCTAGCCAGACGATTGCATGAGCTTAAATAATTCATGCACCAGATGTTTCCCCACCCCTAAGTCACAGTTCATGCCCCAGTGACTCCATTGTAAAATCAACAAAATAATGGGTATACTACATTCACAGGGCCCAAACACGTGAGTCTTGTCTCTTGGGAGACAAATATGTAAAGTGTTGTAGTATGCCTGACTAAATATAAAAAAGTGCAAGCATAATAATATGTTAATGTCCGTCTTGGCTTTCTTCTGGGCATCGAGTATCGGCCAGATCCCCTCGTCACTCCTCATTGCCTCACTCTCACCAGACTGTGGTAATCCTTGCTTCTCTGAATTTTACACATGCTCCCATAAGGTTTTGACCAAGTGTGCCTTACCATGCATCAGTATTCTGCCAAGTTGTGCAGAGCCAGCCAGTCTGTCCACCTGTTCATTTCCCATCAGTCCATTCGTTTCCCATTTAAGTGGCAGTTTGGAGATTTTTCTGTTTGCTTCTGCTTAGGACGAGCCTTTAGTTTAGGATAGAAGGATTCAACATAGTTGTTTATTTGAAGGCATAAAAGAAGCAGCTGGGATGGAGTTAAGTAAAGTACCACACAGTTTAGGGCAAAGAGACCAGCATCAGCCATGACACAATTGTTGGTAGGGGATACAATCAAAGAAACTTGTTGTTTTTGTTTTTGGCAGTGCTGATCCTTTTTATAATGTATGTTTTACAGGCTTATGACAGACTGAATGACATGCCAGAGATGAAGGCTGAGCGCACTCGTAAGCAAGATCCGGCAGAGTATATCAACATGCAAAATCCTCATAACAAAAGCAGGTATATAGGTGGAAATTTTTTACAATCCTCAAATGTGTGTGGATACAGAGGTTAACTTATGACTTTTAAAGAGAGAGATTTTTCAGATGAAATGGCAAAAAGAAGATGACCCTTTTCACAGCGTTGGTACTTTGTGTATATGGTGCCAGACCTATATTTTTTTTTAATGCACTAAATGGGTCAAGTGGTCAGCACTGCATGTGTCACCTTTACTTCCCAGGACACTTTCTGGTACTCATTAATTACTACATTGACGTGGAACAAATGACATGCATGTGTTTATTAAGTCTTCTGGGCTCTAGACTGACGCAAAGAATCATCATCTGCCCTTGAAAATCAAGAATGTTGTAATCTCTGGGATGTTTTCTACTTTTCGTGTAGCCAGGATGAGCTGAGAATAGTCAAGAAGACGCAGGTCGTCTGCCAGCAGAAGAGCAGAAAGGCTGAAGGGCAGAAACATTTGAAAGCAGCTACACAGGGCGAAGAGAAGGCCTTCTTCGGGTGTGGGAGCACCTGTATCATTCATGTCCCACTTGATTTCCTTCTTTATATTTTCTCCTTTTCATTCTTCTTTGTTCACTGACTATAATCTCCAGTGGAAGGTCCTAGTTGTTCATCCATTTGGACTTTGGCTTTGTGCCTGAGTTTTTCATGTAAATCTGTTTTATTGGTTTATTTATGTGCAGTTAGTTTTTCCCTGCCACTCAGGCAGATTCAATCTGACTTCGAAGGAAGCTCCCTGGTAGTCAACTCCTATGTGACTTTATATTATATTAGATGCTAACCTCAACATCTTCTACCTATCTGTAATTCACCATAGATGCTGTCCTTAGGGACTACCATCCTCCATCCTCCTAGTGTGTGAAAGGTACCAACATGATTCAACCATGGCCAAACTTTAGTACTGCCGATGGCTACGATTCAACATTCTTCAGTGCCTAGAGAACCACTATGTGACTGCTTATGTGTTATTATTGAAAATACTGGCCTTAAGTGCCTTCATGCATGTGCCTTCTGGCATGTAAACTGGATTACTTTCTTTCTCTTTTGTCTATTTTCTGCTTTGTGCTGCTAGGTTTGCTGGTTAACAGATGATCAGTTTCCAAGCTAGGGCACTCTTGGTTGCCTGATGTACTGTGATGTTGTGGAATCTCAAGATTTCAGTGACTCCTTCAGTCCATCTTCTTCTTGGTTGTCCCCTACATCTTGGATTAATTTGATGCTGTTATATACATCTACTTGCAGCCTACAACATGAACAGTTCAAAGGCGCCATGAGGTGTCCTCCAATTGAAGCAGAGAGACTAAACACTAGTGTTGGCTTTCAAGAAGATAGTGGCTACGTGAGGAACAATGCTCCTTATCTGCAGCACACAGATGATAAGATGAGGTTTATGACTCACCATATGAGCAGGTAGACTCCTTTCTGTTTGAAATAACATTCTGATAGCAGGAACATGCATGCACACACAAGCATTCACATTCTACTCAACTATGTTACACATAGACATTCATTCACACACACAAGAATGTAAAAAACCCTTTTATAATGTCAGTGGTGCATAATGCATATGATGCTAGGCTCATATTTTTTTAAGACCAATCTGCACTTGGTTTGTGATGTTGTCATCATCACAGTTTCTGACTTTACTTTCCAGGAGATTACCTTGTGCCAGTTTTAGCCTGGGTCAACCTGAGTTCTAAGGTCAATACTTTGAGGGGGTGGGGGGAGGGGGGATTCCAAGACCTTCGGGCTGACAGGGGAGCATTTAACCATTACTCTACCATAAATCCCAACAGAGTCAGACATATACATAAATGCACAAATAGAATAGTGTTTTGATGATCCAAATGAAGAAGAAGAAGAAGAAGAAGAAGAAGAAGAAGCAGAAGAAGAAGAAGAAGAAGAAGAAGAAGAAAAAGAAGAAGAAGGAGAAGAAGAAGAAGAAGGAGAAGAAGAAGAAGAAATTAACTTTCATTCCCAGATATGCATTACTTAAACTTATTCAGTCTTAACTCTTTGAGTCCCAAGGAACGCATCATACGTTCATAGGTTCCTACATAGAAGCCCAATGAACGCATGATGCACCGATTTTATTACTTTCTTTACTACCCCCTGGGCGTGTGATGCTAAACCCCCTGGGACTTTAAGAGTTAACAAGTTATTTATTTATTCATCTTCTTCTCTTCATCAGCATTGTGAGCATTCACCTGCTTCCATTCATCTTTGTGACTGGCCTTCTCTTTCCAGTTACTGACTCCAGGTGTTTATAGGTCTGCTTGGATATTATCTTTCTACCATCTTCTTGGTCTGCCTGTCACAAGCACCCCCACAAGTCAAGGTGGAGATACCTTCAGGGAAGATGTGTCAATTCTGTTGCTGTAAAATCATAAAACATTCAGACAGAAAGATTTAAAGTAACAGATGGGACAGAGTGGGTTAATATAATAACTAGATTTGGCAGAAGAATGGAGAAATGTGTGTCATGTAAGTAGAAACCAGCAAATGCGTGGAGAGCTGCTTAGTACTGAATGAGTTTCAACACATACAATTATGTATAGTAATTGTAAACAGATAGCGTAGTCAAAATCTGCATACACAAAGGAACTGAATTGGGACAGGCTATGACATGGACCCCAAAAAATATGGTGGAGATATACAACAGATGTTCTAAGACTTGGAGTCACCAAATAGAAAGAGAGCCAGTCAGATGTGAATGGAGGTGGGTGGTATCTGCAGCAATGAACCTCAAGGGCTCAGAACGCTGAAGAAAAGAAGAACTCCAAACATGCACAACAGTCAATTTGTTTGAGAAATTAAACAACATATAGTAGGGCATCCCAATTTACGGAGCACAGAAATGGGCTCTTTCCCGTAAATTATATATCACTTTGATACTGCAACGTATAAGAGGATCAAGATTTGATGAGATAGTGAGGTATTAGCAAGAAAATAATTTGACTAGAATGTAACTAGAAAGCAGCTACATATAAAAGACAATGTGTAAAACGATGGAAATTACAAAAAAGAAAAGAGACTAGCTAAGGAAAGAAACTGAAAACTGTAGTCACAAACTCTTCCTTTTCAGGTTTGGTTTAGATCCAACACCCATTGGAGCAGAGAGAGCTGGCCATCTGAGAGGTGGAATACAGGAAATGAGGCCTAATGGCTTCACCAAGTCTGTTGGCATGAATGATTTTGGCAGTGAAGCTCCCAGTACACAGGTTCTACATAGGATTGAGCCATATGTTGGAAGGTAGTCTTCTTTATCTTTCTGTTTTCTTAATATGCTTTTTAGTATCAGATTAGAAAGAACTTTCTGGACAAAATCACTTTGGGGGTTGAGCTGAGATGTAAGTAAAGTTAAAGAACCTTTTCCAAGCCTTCAGGCATATTAGGCATATAGGGCTAGACCTATATTTTATAGACTAATCGGCACCCGATGGATGATAGGGTCAGCATCGTGACAGCCGACTTTACTTCCCAGGACTGCACCTGGTACCCATTTAAGGGTGGGTTGACCTGGGGAGTTGGGATTAGATTACTTAAAAACTGACATCAGAATGCTCATGACATTGTCACAAGTGTTTTCATCCCCAATCTTTAGCAGCCAGCTGAAAAATCTAGACAATACTCCTCACCCATGTCCTCCACAGTGGAGCATGCCACTCTGCACGAAGCATGCTTGTCCTGACTTTCCTCATCATGCTTTTTGAGTCAGTTACAATGACGATGGAGATTTCTACTGACCTAGATTTTAAGAAGAAGAGTATGAAGTAATGGTAACTGGCGGCAGGTTAAACGTGGTCAACTTTCTGTTTTCTTTTCAAAACTGGATGGATGGAGGTAAAGGTGATGATGAAAGTTGCATCAGGGATGATAATTGATGTATACAATAAAGTTTTATTTGTTTGTTTGTTGCAGAAGCCTCACAGCCAGGAATGTGTACTTTGATGACCACACATATGATACAAAGCTACACACACAACTGATTGCCTAGTTATTTGCAAAATTTGTTACCATCAAATGAATTATATTTAGCTTTACCTGTAAACCATCTTTTGAACTTGGCATCCTGTTGACCTTTGCAGGTTTTCAAAACTTTGGTTACCTAATATACCAGTGAAGTAAATTTTTTAAAACACTTATAAAAGTTTTAAATATGTGATATAAATGTTTTAAATATTTACTATAAAAATATAATATATTTTAAATAATTTGTTTAATAGTTGGTTTACAGTAAATGTCTTTTTTTTAATATGTCTGTGTTGATTTTAGTTACTGGCTCTACCTTTTCACTGTCGTTACTCTAGTCCACATCCATTTTCTTCAGTTTTACCTTAAAATACTTGTGTCAGATATATTTAACGTGTGAAATAAGTTGTGGTTGTGATTAATTATTAGTTTACCAGCTTTGCTGATATATTTAGGGATATCTAGTAGAACATAGCAGCACACATCCGCCTGTGTAGTTAACAAGTGAGCTAATAGCACATTGCACTTGTCCCTCCAGCAAAATGCATCCAATTTTGACAGGAATTTTTTATTTTTTTTCAAATTTGTCTTTCCTGGCCTTTTGGTACTGTCAGTACATTGCAAGGCAGCAGATTTGTGCATCTCAGGTGTCTTGCCCCTATTCCTTGATGTACCTAAAGTGAGAGACCATGCCTGTAGCTGAGTTACTGTCAGTTTACCCCTCGAGATCATTCAGAAACACAGGCCCCTCAATCATAAATAGGTGGAGACATGATGGAGGAAGTGTGACAGCATACAGGTAAAAAAACACAGCACACTAATTTACCACCTTAACACTTCTCCTGCTCCTGTACACACTAACCTGCAACTGTAGATCAGCGACTTACTGCTTCAGCACACTGACCTACTAATGCAGAATGGTGACCTACTATTGCAGCACACTGACCTAGTGAATGCAGCACACTGACCTATTGATGCAGCAACCTGACTTACTAATACAGCCCACTGACCTACTATTGCAGCACACTGACCTACTTTTGCATCACACTAACTTGTTCAATGACCTAGTACAGCAAGCAGCACATTAGTCTACAATAGCAGCACACTATAACTACAACACATGGTCCCTGAAAACCTACTGGGAGTGGGGGGGGGGGGTGTTGAGAAAGACACTAATTGTTTTTCTTTTTCTTAAATTGACTGTGTTGGACAAAAGGTGCAGATATGGCAACCTTGCTGTGAAGAAAATCAAAGCATACCAACTGTCCTTCAGAGCAAACATAGAAGAAGATGTTAACTCTTTATATCCCAAAGGTTTGAGCTTGATAGTAGGAAATGCTTAGTCTTAAGGAATCCAGAAGAGACTCTGTGGGATAGAAGTAAACTAATAAATTCAGGTACACATATTAAATATAAACTAATTACCTCAAGAGACACTAGATAAAATGGTCCAGACATGTGTCAAGACTACACCAGTTAGTGCACCACAGACAGCCCTGTCATTGAGACATAATGGAAGCAGTCTAGGGGTCGACCAGGCAAGGGATGGATAGATGGAATATTTGAGGCTATAAGTACCAGCAACTATGTAGCACACACTAAGGCTCGCACCTGATGCCTCTTCAAAACGTGATGCAGAAAGGCAGAACAAAACCAGAGAAGTAATTTTTAAAATTCTTCTTCTTCTTCTTTCTGTCGCTCAAAATAGAGTATCTATATCTACGATGTTGTTGTCTCTTTTATGAACTTCACTGTCTTTTGTAGAAGTAGTTTTAATATAACAACTCTCCGTGATAGATGCTATCAAGAACATCATACTTGTGTATTATCTGTGGAATGATCTAGAAACAAATGGTGAGTTTTTGGGTACTGAAAAAATTCTGGGCTATCAACTACCTACACAGTTTAGCAAGGCATACAATAATAATGATACATATTTATATTTTATTTATTTTATTTTTACAGTGTGTTTAAATTTTCAGTCATTAAACTGGTGGTCACCTGCATGTCTCAGTCACCTCTAGCCATTATTGTGTGTATTCCATGACGTTGGCATTAGTTGACTTCTTGTAAGGTCAAACATGCCACTCAGAAGATAAGCTAGAAGTCTCTAATATCTACATCATATGTGATACTGAGTTGTCTTTTTACCTCATGTGAATACAGTTATGGCAGAAATGTTTACTGGAAGGACAATAAAAAGTATTTGTTAAGGAAGATATGATGTTTTTTATTGCTAAAATGTTTACATTGAGAAAACCTTTTAGTGGTATATTAGATAGTTCTTCTTCAAAATTCACTGGACAACCAAAATGGAGGATGACCTAGAAAAACATAGAGAAGATAATTTAAGACATCATCAATGCCATGGCTTTGCCGGTGGTGTAAACTTTACTTTCTCTCCACACATCTCTATACTTAGTATATAAATTATATTAATGAGACAGTCAAGTGTACAAACATACCAACACACACAAAATTATATGAGAGCATAATGATTATTTGGGGAGCAGGGATGAGGGGTTGCTGGGGGAAAAAGGGGGTTCATGCTGCCTTAGCTCCCATTTTCCAGCTCCCTGGAGACAGACATATATTATCTTGAGAGAACATGAAGTTAATTACAGGTGACAGCGAAAGATTCGAGGGCAGTGGTGAGCCGGCTGAGAGCCTGTGCATGGCTGAGGTAATACAAGGCAGAAAAACAAGAAAATTTTTATAAAATTACCCTTACAGGAAGACATATTTTTTTTTCGACGCACACACGCACACACATATATATATATATTTATTTATTTATTTGCTCGGCTTCATCCGCAGTAGTGAAATAAAGTATTATTATCCCATCCTCTATCTCATCTTGGTCTCCACTGCTGTGCTGTATGTAGGCCTAGTGGAATAATATCCTGTCTTCTAGTTCATCTTTGTTGCCACCCCTGCCGTATTTCTAGTCAGTGCCTCTAAATGCACCCAAGGCATCCCACGTAATACTAACACAAACATTTAATAATTTGGGAGACAGACAAATGTAATGACTCAGATTTATACAGATAATGTGGTTTCAAAGAATATAACAGCAAAATATATTTTTAAAATTTCCTTATCAAGTGAAGTAATAGAAGAAAAATATTCAAAGGGATATAACTCCAGTAAAAGTTTACTTTTACTGATTGTCACACTAAATACAGAAATGCACAATAACCTGGGCAGCCAGTGTGACTGTTAAATTAAACATTGTAATTTTAATGGCAAATGAAAATGTAACAGTGTATTGGTCATGGTTTGGAAGGAGTTGACACTTCATTTAGAATAAATACACGAAATACAGATATATATATATATATATATATATATATCCAAGCCTATATAAATCGTGCCGTCCTTTCCATGCATTTCTGATTCACTTTTTACGTCCTTCTTAGGACGTTATTTTTTGTTATTTGGAGCCCCACTCTGGCTTTTGCCAGGGGCCGCAATATAGGCAGGTCATAATTATGGCCAAATGTCTGAACGCGGTTTCTGGGACCTCTCCACGGTGATCCTCATCCGCATGGTGGCACTTTGTGTCATCGGGTGTTTATCGCTTGTGTGATGTCCTGGTGGGGTAAAAAGCCAATCCAATCCAATCCTTGCATTTATAATACAATATGCTTCATCCTTATTAGGATGAGATTTTTTGTTATTTGAAGCCCCACCCTGGCTTTTTCCAGGGGCCGCAATATAGGCAGGCCATAAATATGGCCCATTGTCTGAACGCGGTTTCTGGGACCTCTCCACGGTGATCCTCATCCACATGGTGGCACTTTGTGTCATCGGGTGTTAATCGCTTGTGTGATGTCCTAGTGGGGTAGAAAGTCAGTCAGTCAGTTCCAAAATGTAATTTCTCAATATTTGGAGCCCTATTCCGGTTCATGCCAGGGGGCGCAATATAGCCAGGCCATAAATATGGCCTAATGGCTGAACACAGTTTCTGGGACGGTGATCCTCACCCACATGGTGGCACATTGTGTCATCGGGTGTTTTCGCTTGTGTGATGTCCTGGTGGGGTAGAAAGTTAGTCAGTCTATATAACTTACAGGTATTAACCCTATCACCACTACTCGTCTCTATGTGGGATGCAATTTTTAATTATTGTAAAGCCCCACCCTGGCTTTTGCCGGGGGCCCTAAATATAACTGGCCTTAAATATAGCTGAACGGTTGAACGAGGTTTCGGGGACCTCTCTACCAGTGATCCTTATCCGCGTGGTGTCACCTTGTGTCACCGGGTGTTTATCACTTGTGGGGTACAATTTACCTACCTACCTACCTAATCTCCGTCCCCATATAGAACAAACTGTTCGCTAATTTGAAGCTGCACCCTGGTTGTTAATATAACCTGACAGTTGAATGGGATTTCTGGGACCTCCCCACGGGTGATCCTTATCTGAATTGTGGCTTTTGTGTCACCGGCTATTTATGGCTCAGTGTGATGTCCTAGTGGGGTAAAAAGTCAGTCAGTTAATTTACAGATGTCAGCAAGGCCATATCTGGATTAATAAGGCCCTAAGATATATAACACCCTGAGGCCCTACCATTTTGAATTACATCAGCAGATCTCAACAAATTAAATAAATACGCACTTTACATAAATTAATTAATTGAAATATATTGTTAAATTTTTAGTAAAGAGATAATAAAGAATGTTGTTTGCACGGCCTTCTCTATTTATTAGAGAAGGCAGTGGTTGTTTGCAAAATCACATAAATTATATTACATAATCCTCTAAAAGGCTGTAATAAAATAAAATTGCAGTTTAAATATATTAAAACACAGACATCAAATGAACACCGCTTTCATAGATCAAGAAAAAGCTTTTGATAGAGTAAACATAAATTTATTATGGAAAGTTCTTGAAAACTACGGTATAAATGAAACAATTTTAGATTGTGTTAGGGCTATTTACAGACAAAGTGAAAGCGCCATTAGAACAAGAGCTGGCATCACAGACTGGTTCCCAGTAACATCAGGAGTAAGACAAGGTTGTGTA